CCAAGCTACTAGGAGAGTGAAATATTGTTTCCTAAATCCAACTTAGAGTACCTAGTTTAGACTTAGTTTTGTTTAATCCAAACTAGCTTAGTAGACTCCTCATATTTTTTAAGTAGTGTAGTCCTTTAACTAATAATGTACAACGACAAGGTAGTCAATTTGTGAAAGTTTGTAAAATATTTGGGTATTTTTCAATATCTTAATAAAGACATGCCATTGTGGCATGATTGCAGGTTAAAATATATATATATATATATATATATATATATTTTTTAGATATATTTTTTTGTTTATTTTAATCCATTTTCTTTATAGATTTCAATTATTTTAATAACCTGATAAGACATATTATAATAATAATCCACTAGCAATAATATATGTATTAAGAAAGTCTTTATCCAAAATCCATTATAAAGTGAAATATTGTTCTCAAGATCAAACCGAGAGACCATAATTGCCTACAATAAGTTAGTTAGATTTGAATAGAAAAGTTTAGTTGTAATATGTATTATGCTTCTCAGATGAAAATATAATAAACTAACTAAACCTGGCTGCAGGTATTACAAATAATAATAATAATACAGTATATTAAGTTTATGATATCTAATTTTTAAAGATTTTAACTTAACAAATTGTTATTTAGAAATTTCATTTTTTGATAGCCTGACAAGGATTACAGAAATAATAGTTAATACGAAAACCAGGAAAATTGGATAAAACGAAAAAAACGTGAGGTCATAAAAATGAATTCAAAGGGGGAAATGATTGTCCGCAAACCAATCACGCAGTACGTTGAACGGAGATGCCATTCAGCAAGCATCGCAGCTCAATAGAATCCATTTTGGGATTCACGGCGTATGGACAATCGGCTTTAGCCTAATTGTGGAACTTCCGTATTCTTTCCCGGTTACTTTATGTGAACGATATAATAAAATAGCTTGAACGCAGGATTCTCGCGGTTCGGGAAATTTCATCTAAAAAAATAACGCAAGTGCGCCTGCACAGTTACCGCACGGGCAATTTCACGCAAGGGTTACATGTAGAACCGGGGTGGATTTAATTTATTAATTGGCATGGGTTCCCCATTGAGAAACCATCGCGCCGTGGCAACTCTTCGAATAACCATTCGGAACCAAGATACGATTCTGTCAAAAATTTCACACTAATTGGTGTTCGGTCGCGTGATCTTCGTGTAAGAAGATTATTGATTGTATACTGGGTGTGTTAAAGTAATTTGCACGCTCTTAACCTCATCACGTGTCGGTGTGTTTGCCAACTGAAACATGGGCGACCGCTTTCTTTTAGTCAATTTTAGTCACCGGTATAACGGTTCGCTAATCGGGTCACGCGATTTTCTTGTAATAATGTGAGGGGAGAAGTAAACTTGAAGTTTTTTCACGCATTATATAGATCGCGCGTATTTGTCGCCAGTATTTGTTTGCTGGTATGTTTATGGCTTAAAAATTGCGCATTGGATGACAATGTTAATGCACGTTAATGAAACAGATTTGGTAAGATATGTTAATTCAAATGTCAAAAACCCGGATCCACCTGTTTTGGTTACACGATCTTTTCGCGAATTATGATTTAAGAAAGAACACACATTGTCGTTGAAGTGAACATTATTAGCATAAACCATTATCAAAAATGACTGAACTTGTGGACAGAGTTATAGCGGCGTTAAGAGGAAACAGTATGTTTTCTTCGATTTTGTACATTTTAATGAAAATCTCGAGGGAATTCGTCGCTAATTTCGAACATTTCGTGAATGTCAAAAGACCTTGACAAAAAAGTAGACACCTTAGCGGAACTAGAAGAGGAGCTGCTCGAAGAAACACCTCTCGAGGTTAATAATTTAACATGGCAGTAATTGTTCATGTAGATTTAGTACCGTTAATTAACGCACGATGTTAACTACACACTTTGAATTAGCCTCAAGAGATAGTTCAACTGATACCATCACTGCGGGATGCATTACGGGGTTCTCAGATCGCAGTTTCTTATGCGGCACTTGAATGTCTAAATCCTTTTGTGTCCTTAATAGCGGCCACACATCCGGGTCAGCTAAAGAATGTAATATCGGCTTTTTCTCCGGCTGTGATTGACAAGCTGGGCGATGCAAAAGACAAAGTGAGGGATGTCGCATTGCAAGTACTATTAACAATGTATAGTTCCGCGTCAACAGCAAATGACAGCGCCAATGTTATGACAACACTAGTAAAGATAATCAAAGAAATGGCTTTTGGACATAAGCAGTGGAGAGTGAGAGAGCAGGTGTGCATCAGAGTTCAAAATTTTATGATCTTAAAATAATTCAAACATCCAACTCCGTTTTCTAATTTCAAACCATCATAGATCCTACAATGGATAATAGTATGCACGCAACAGAATGCCGATGTCTCTCTTAGACAATGGGTACCATATATGGTAAAATTATTAGAGGACTCTTATGAACCAGTGAGAGAGACCGCTAAAGATATGATAGTGCTTCTTTTCAGGTAAGATAGGTCTTTCGGAGATACGGGTACACGCGGATCGACAAACCATTCGTTCTCATCTTTTACTAATTTTAGTGCTGCTCCTGCGCACGCTAAATCTGACTTGAAGCGGGAACTCAAAGAACAATCTATTCGCGCTGGTATTGTTGATTACATTCTTTCAAAGGTTGCTGGAAATCAATCACCAAACGATATACAATATGATAGGCCTTTTGATAATCATCATACGGACGGTGGGTCCGAGTTAACAGAAGATGATTATTCAAATGGAGTAGTCGAACACGATGAAGTATCTAAGCATAACGAACTCGTGATGAAACCTGCTAACACGGTTGACAATGACATCGGTGTTATTTATGTACGTTTCCATGTGATGCTTGTTTCAATGCTTTTTTGTTGCCACTGATTGTTGTCATATGTAGGTGGATAGCACCAAAGAATTAGAACGAGAGTTTCAGAACTTACTCATACCTTTTCAAGGCAAAGAATCAGAACAAAATTGGACAGTTAGAGAAAGAAATATTAGTCGAATGAGATCATTGATCCGGGGAAATGCCTTTTCTAATTATCCTGAGACGTTCATCAATGGGCTAAAGTTATTTGTTGATGGCTTAGAAAAATCGGTACATCGAGTATAAACTCTCTTTCTTGCGAATTAGTACAACATCTATACCGACTTTAATGCTCACCTGAAAACATTTTTGACACGCAATAGCTCATGAGTTTAAGGACCACTCTCTCCTTGGCTAGTGCCGGTCTTGTAAGAGATTTAGCAGTACATCTAGGATCCGCGATAGATCCTTTTGCAGACAATATCTTGGCAGACCTTATAAAAATGGTTTCTTCTACAAAGAAGATTGTTTCACAAGCTGCCGCTAATACTGCGAATGATCTCTTGCAACATGCCTCATATCATCATCGGCTAGTCACACAGTTGTGGCATGCAATGGAGGAGAAAAACATACAGCTAAGAAGTCATGCAATTGTTTTTGTGAGGACCGTGATAATATCACACGGGGATAGAAGGGATGCGATGGAAAGAAGTGGGGGAGCCGAAACTCTTGAAAAGTGTGTAAAAAAGGGACTAACTGATGCGAATCCCAAGGTAAGAGAAACCTGTCGGGAGGTATTCTGGACCTTTTATGAGGTCTTTCCAGATAGGGGTGAAAGGTAGGAGAGTTAAACGTACATATGTTTTACGAGGATTAAACTATGGAAAGTGATAATCCATTCTTATATGTACGCTTAGAATAATGAGAAACTTGGAACCGGCTGTTAAGAAGCAAGTTGAACGTGATCGACCAAAAAACTTACAGCCGATATCATCACCAACGAGTGTAAACCCGGCAAAACGCCCAACCACCCCTTCTCCCAAGCGTCCAACCACTCCCTCCTCCAAGCGTCCAACCACTCCCTCCCCCAAACGTCCGACCACTCCCTCCCCCAAACGTTCAACCACTCCAGGTCCTAAGCGTCCTACAACGCCAGGACTTAAACGACCGACAACTCCAGCGTCGCCGTCAGAAGAGCGTAACAGAAATTTGAGTACAGGGAGTTCCAACAGAAGGGCAAGTCTCGCCGCCGGATCAGACAGCAGTGCAAACGATAACTATTCAACGCAAGAGAAGAAAAGGGTTATCAGGGAGCAACCAAAGTCAGCATCCAAACCTGCGTTACGATCGAAATCACCCGCCCCTCCTTCTATGGCAAGAAGTAAATCGGAAAACCCTTCATCTGAAACAATGTTACGTCCAAAGTCGCCTTTCTCTCCGCAAGGACGACGAGCTTCACAGGTTCCGTCTGTTCCTCGCAAACCGACAATCATGGAACAACTGCAGCATGAAGAATGGACAGTTCGCGTAGAAGGCATAATGAACATAGCACAGTTGGTTGTGAAGAGATCTTTGGATTCACCATACGGAAAAAATGGGACCGTTGATTCCGGAAAATCCCTTCTCCCGCCCGATGATGTGCTGAGTTCGGCATTAATCAACGTATTGAATGATCCGAACTTCAAAGTCATTGGGACCTTTTTCAACGAAAATGTTTTCAAGGAGTTATCACAAGTTATCCAACTTGAACAGATGATTCCCAAAGTGTTGCTAATGGCGAGGGATGAAGAAAACCCAGAAAGAGCGGCACTAATAAATGAATTCTTTCCCAACATTAAGGCATCTATTAGTTCTGATAAATTACTGGCCGTTCTCAATAAATGTCTAATACCATTAGGGAACTTTGGAAGTGCGCAAAAAAAATCTACGGGATTTACAACGCCTCAGAAGCGTAGGATTTTGAATGGCATTCTAATTTGGCTCAATGAAATTGCCTCAACGAAATTAAGTGAAGCAGAAGAGGGAAACGTTAGAGGTTATTTAGGGGAGGGTGATAAGTTTAGAATGATCATTGATCGTATAGTTTCCTTCGTTCCATTAATTAAGGAGACGTCGGAAAATTTTGAACCGCTCAGTAATCTATTGACCACTTTGCATAAGCTAAATGCCGATCTATTCGAATCAATATTATTTGAATTTGACAATACGATAATTGAGATCGTGGGAAATATAATCGGATGGGAAGAAGAGTTGTTGGAGGTTGAAGAGGAATTTTTAGCCAAGGAGCAAGAGAGGGAAGAGAAAAGGTACCAATCTGAGGAACAGAGGTTGCTGCTTGAGCAACAAGAGGCAGAGAAAAAAGCATATGAAGAAAAATTGATTCAAGAACAACAGTTGCATCTACAGCAATTACAGCAACAAAAACAAGAACAGATGGAGAGGAAGAGGAAAGAACGAGAGTTACAACTACAAAGAGAACGCGAAAAAGAGCTAGAAGCTCGGCAGTTACAAGAAATTGAACGTGAAAAAGAACTGCAGAAACAACGCGAAATTGAAATACAACAGAAACTCGAAATGGAGAAACGTGAACAGGAGTATGAAGCACAGATCCGAGAATACGAGCGTGAATTGCAGCAGAAACGTGAACAACGTGAACAACGTGAACGTCTATTGCAACAGCAACGGGAACAGAGGGAACTATGGGAGAAGGAACAGAGGGAACAATGGGAACGGGAACAGAAGGAACAATGGGAGCAGGAACAGAGGGAACAATGGGAACGAGAACAAGAACAGCAAAAACAAAAGGAACAGTGGGAACGAGAACAAGAGCAGCAAAAACAAAAGGAACAGTGGGAACGAGAGCAAGAGCAGCAAAAACAAAGGGAACAGTGGGAACGAGAACAAGAGCAGCAAAAACAAAAGGAACAATGGGAGCAGGAACAGAGGGAACTATGGGAACGAGAACAAGAGCAGCAAAAACAGAGGGAACAGTGGGAACGAGAACAAGAGCGGCAAAAACAAAAGGAACAGTGGGAACGAGAACAAGAGCGGCAAAAACAGAAGGAACAGTGGGAACGAGAACAAGAGCAGCAAAAACAGAAGGAACAGTGGGAACGAGAACAGGAGCAGCAAAAACAGCGTGAACTGGAATTACGCCAACAGCAAGAAGAACTTGAACTTCAACAGAAACACAAGGAAGAATTACAATTACAACGTGAATTAGAACTCAAACGTGAAATTCAATTGAAACGTGATCAAGAACTTCAACAGAAGCGCGAGCGCGAGACGAAACAAGAATATGAGTTAGACAAGCGATACGAACGTGAAATATCCGAAAGGGAAACTCAGTATTGGGAAAGTGAAGGGGGGATGGAGAAACAACATATGCTGTTACAAAAATCTTCGAGGCTTCAAAAAATGGCGTCTCAGCCGTCGCTCAGAAGGAATCAATATAGGAATTCGATCGCAAGTAGCAGCGTAGATGATTGGATTAAAAACCAAAGCGTATCCCAATTACCACAGAATGACACTTTTCGAAGTTCAAAAGAGTTTGATACTACCTGGGATCAGGAGGGGACGCAAAGAAAATCCGTGATCGCGGACTTACATATTACAGAATCACGTGGACTTGACGGCGAAGGTCGGAAGATGACAACGCCGACCCAAAGGTTACCAAGAGATTCAGAATTCGAAGAAAGGATAAATAGACTTCGGCAAAAAGAGACTGCCGAGAGTTTCAATGAACGAGGAGGTCGTTCATTATCTCGAAATAGTAAGGATTCCGAGTGGTCTCAAAGAGTTTCAAGAGATTCATATATAAGGGAATGGAGTGGCAGAAGCCCGCAATATTCACCTAGAACCCATTTGGAAAATGAAAGGAGCAGATATTCTTCACCTAGAGAGTTTGATGGAAGTGAAAGAGACTCATCACGAGATTCAGGGTCTCGAGACATTAGATCATCAAGCAAAGGAAATGATTGGGTTAATCAAGACGTACGTAGACCCAGAGAAAACGATTGGACCGAAACCGTAGAGAAAGATCATTCAATTGAAAATTATGATGAAGAAGATGGTATTAGCGAGATAGACATTAATCAACCAGAGCGAATAGGAAATAAAGTGAAACAAGCGCGTAATGCACCCACGGACACGTTGGTATCTTTGCCTGCTCTTCCCCGTGGATATAAAATTTCTGAATTTGATGAACGAGATCCAGAGATGAAAAATCTTAAAGAGCTTGTGGAGAAACTGGATGCCGAGGATAATGCTTTATATGAGGTGAATATAGATACATTTATATTGATTTGAGTTATGAACTTATGAAAAAAAAAAATCGCGAAGATCTTATATATATCTTATATATATTTTCAGGAGGATCCGCCGGAAAATTTTGACGATGGAACCCTACAGAAACCGATGAGCATTGTTATTTCAGAAGATACCTGGAAACATCTTGCCAACACTTTAAATGGTGATATTAACCCCTTCTTCATAAATCCTGAGGATCGACATAAGAACGGCGGGCTTGCAGACCCTACGTTGACTCCCATACAGGAGGTGGAGATACCTGAAGTCTTCCAAGCATCCAAAGAATCCACATTTCAAGACAATATTGTATCAAGTAAATTTAATAACGACCTTTCCTCAAAACCATGTGACGAAAGGTTGCCCTTCGGATCAGCGAGCTATGCCGCAAATGAACCGAATGATCGTGATAGTATCACATCTTCTCCAATGGGGACAGAAATTAGTAATGATGTCCCTGCTGCATCCTCTCCTGAGCGAACAAAAGGGAGGATGACGGGGGCGCGCGACCGTGCATTAATGCCAAAACATGTTCAAGAGAAACGGTTAATCCTTATAACGAATTTGGCTCGTTTGAATAGTCGTGACGTAGATAGTCTTCTTTTCCGTAATTTATCTCGATTAACCGTGGAGACACCGCTCGCCAACAGAGAACTTGCCGATGACATTTGGGAGCAAGGAGAACGATTCGGTGAATTGATTACAGCACTAATAGGTTTTCTGAGTGATTCTTCTCAGGTTGTTCATTTTTAAAACATATTATATCATGATACAGTAAATACGGTGTATATTTGGTCAATCTAACCAAAATTTTTTAAAAAATTTATTAGAGAAACGCGGAATTTAAGGAAAATGCTTTGATACTCCTTGGGCAACTGTTAGAAAACCAATTCGACTATGCAACTGATAGGCGCCTTGAAAGGGATGTATTGCGCGTCTTATTAGAGTGTTGCGCTGATAAATCTAATAGTGTAAGTAAATGTCTGCTGTGGGTGATATAGATGATTTAGGTGATTTTCAATTTAATCATCCACTTGATGGTGATATTTGACATTTTGCATCCAATGTGCAGACCTACATTCATGCGACAGAAATCCTCGAAAATTATATTCGAATCGTCGATAGCAATGGGGGTTTATATGCGTTGATTGACATTATGGAATCAAGTCTATTTGGAAAAACTCAATCAAGTTCACAGTCGGGCATGAAACAGGGTGCGTTTTCGGTGTTAAGTTTGTTGGTTAAAAGGTTCGATCGAAAGTCTTTGGAGAGACAAATAGGGAGGATCATTCCGTTAACCCTTAAGGTATACATCTTTTGTTCTGAGGAATGAATCGCTATCAGCATTTGATTAAATCGGTCCGATCCAATCACTTCACAGGGAATCAATGATCCTAAAGCGGAGATAAGAAGGTCCGTTGTAGATTCACTTGTAGCGGTATATTCAGTAATTGGCGACGATAATACCCTATTCCAATATCTTGATGGCCTTAATCCTTCACAATTAAATCTTCTTAATTATTTTTTCAATAAAAGCCGTAACCAAAGAGAAAGTATAGCGGCACGGGGAGTGCAAGCATAATCGACCAAGACATAAACGGCATCAATAAATTATTATTGTAATTTTTTTCGATAGTCTCAATTGAAATCGATTACTAATTTAGTGAGAATGTGAATTTGGGCGAACTAGATGAAAACTGTCGATTCAACTCGGACTAAGGTGCAGGGTAATCAACCACGCGTAGTTGAATTTACGCGCGGTCAAATTAATTCTGACGAAAACTTCATATTAATTTATGAATTTCATTTCGGTGTCAGTTCCTTGCACCATCAATTCCATCTTTGCTTAACATAATACAGGCATAAAGTTAGCAGCCGCGGATTTTAACTGTCACAAAACTTTGTAAAAAGTTAGTATTAAGATAATAGATGCTGTATCATGTGTTTACGCGAACGTGAATTTCCTAGAAATTACCATCACAAGATAAAGAACTACTAAAGACAGTAGCTATTTGGAAGTAATAAGTTTATTGTATGTATCATAATAGTAATAATAATAATTATTATTATTATTCGACTATTTAAAATTTAATAATTGATTACACTGCATACTTAAATTTCACTAAAAAATTTAAACATACACAGTATATACTGTATGTATATCATACGAGATAGTTATTATTTTATGTCAAGAATCCTTAATACACCCTCATACACAATTGCGTGCTAAATATGTAAACTTTAAGCACGACTTTGAAAACGGTATCTAATTTTTATTATTCAAAATGATGTGACAGAATAATGGGTTCGGATAAAATAAATCAAAAAAGTAAATGGTATTGCGTATATACGTTACTCAATTTAATGGGGTGCAGCAATAAACCGTTAATACACAAAATGTGCAGCATATCATACTAAGTACAACAGTTAAACAATGACACATAAGTTATTAATTTGCTGCATTGTTTGGAAATACTTCATACCAACATTTGGAAAAAGTTAATGCGAACACCTACTGTATATTGGTAACAAATTTTAATTTTTCGCTTTACCGCATCGCGCTTCTGATTTTGACTTGATGCTACCGAAGTTGTAAAAAAAAAAACTTCACAACATCTCGTCAATATAGTAACACCACTTTTTTATTTTCAAATTAATTAATCAATTAATCGTAAAATCAGTTAAACCTTTTTTTTTTTTTAAAAGAATTTAACTGCAATAATAGTTTAAACAATAATGAATTCGTCCCCCGAAACTAGCAGTCGACCCAAAACGCAATTAAATTTCTTGGTTTCCATATTTTCACTCAATACTAATCTTTGTACCATGCCGCTCAGCTTTAGGTACAGTAATTGATAAGATTCCATCTTTGTAAGCCGCCTTAACATTATTTGGATCAACTTTACCCGGAAATTGAAATGACCGTTGGAAGCTACCCAGAACCCTTTCGCTGGACCAATATGTTGGTTCTCTGATCTCACCCGTAGCTTCGACCACTGAGGTATCCCCTCCATTGTTTGTTCTACCTTCGGAAGTCGTGTCGGTGGTTTTCATTCCTTCAGCGCCTTCTGGAAGGGTACCTTCTTGCCTAGCTCTTTCGGTTTTTCCTTTAAGGATCAAAGTGCCATCGTCAATAAATTCAACTAACAGGTCCTCCTTTTTCATGCCGGGTACTTCGGCTTCGATGAGGTAGCTCTTGTCTGTTTCACTCACATCGACTGATGGACGATAAAATCCGTTCGTTACTGTTGGTACCGCGGGGAATCTGGCGCTACGGAAGAATGGATCCAATTCAAGTAGAGAAAATGCTTTACTGAAGTCTTGAGCGATAGATGGAAAAATACGATTGATAAGAGACATTTTCTCGGAAATGAGTTTATTTATTGACTGATTGATTCGTTTTTTTGAAGGGTGGAAGGTTGGGGCAAAAAAAATTCCCCACAAGCCCTATTTATATTGGTGAAGTGACGTCATTCGTGAGTTTGTAGAATTTGCTAGATAATTTGGGAACCATTTTTCTCGTCTGATATAGAATTTTGGCAGTAACATTCGAATTCGGGAATTTTGGCTGAAATTACCTAATATGGCGTTTCCCCACGAGTCGCGTGACATCTCCCGAATTGGATATAATTTATTGTTAATACGACTCCGATTCAGTATGCGCCAATTCGCCATAGTCCGCAGCCGTTGATCGAGTACATAAATCACCGTTTTCTGTCAATTTTCAAATTCCCAACCTTGTGAAAGATATAATAATATTATTAACCATGGAATTCAAAAACAACGAGGTCGAGACGAAATACTATGATGTCGATGAAGATAATAGTATACTGTCAGTAAAAATACCTCAGGATACGGTCTTCAATTGGACCGGAGAAAAAATCCGTGGGCTCTCTTTGTTCATTTGCCTCGATATTTCGGGTAAGGATGGCTCATTTCCGAGATTCTCTCCCTTTTAAAGTGACTTCACTTCCTTACGCCTACCAATTGCCAAATTTCCGGAATTCACACGATCAATTAGGCTCAATGTCAGGGTCGGCGATTGTCCAAGCGAAAGAAGCGATCTTAAAATTGATGGGAGAACTTTTTACCAAGAAAATTCTTGCTGAGAAGGATGTTACCTGTTTTTTCTTTAATAATACATGTCGTGTGGAGAAATTCGCCGAAAATCCAAACATGCTTTGGGAAAACGGGATGATCACATCGTTTTTTAGAACGGTTATTGCCGGAGGAGGTGCGCATATACTTTTTTTAGTATCCGAATGTACGATCTTCAGAGTCACACGTTTTTTAAAATGCATTTCTTTTTTTGTTGATAATTGATTAGGAACGCAATTCGACAGTGCCTTCTATTCAATAATCACTAATTTGAGGGAGGTTAAGAACGAAAATCTGGCCATCATTTTCTTCACGGATGGCCAAAATTACGGAGGCGACCTCGAGAAGGGTAAAGAGAATTTGGCAACCGCGTTGGCGGAAGCCCCGTTTAATACTGAAGTTCATAGCATTGGGTTCACCGCGGACCACGATGCCGGTAAACACTTTTTTCCTACCATTTCAGAATTCGTGTCATATATGAGATCTGATTTTTTTTTTTTCCGGCGGTGTCGCTTTACACTAGCTCTCCTCTCATGGTTGACTAAATGCGGTAAAAAGGAAGGTAACTTCCAATACGTGAAATCATCCATTGACATTGCCGAAACCATGAAAACCACTTTAGAATTATTGGAGATGAGTGAGAAGACCTTCTACATCCAGATTGGTGATCGAAATCCAATTCCGGTCAACTTTGACGAGCAAGGATTCGGGAATGTAACTCTTACCGGCGACTCGAACAAAATCGACGGACAAAAGGTCACTGTTATAAAGAGCATCGAAGATGAATTGCCGGATAAATACGAACTCTCCGCACCGCGAAAAATTCCCGAGGGTGGACCGGAATCGGCGTTAATGGTTATTCCCTTTGTTCAAATCGATATCACGAGGTTATCAAATGAAATGATTAATGATAAAAGGGACCAAGAGGCCAGGCGGCAGAAGATTAACGAAATTTCGGAATTGGTAAACAAATATGATGAAAAGATAAATCTCATTTTGCAGAATGCTTTTCATACCAGGTCAGCTGATCGAAAAGACATCATTCAAAAGTGTATGTCAGTCAAACATACGATTCACCAGTTCAAGTCTGTCATGTCGGAGTATGTGTTTATTTTCTTTCCTTCTTTCTTTGCCGGTGTTCCCACTAAAGAGTTGCCCGTCTGAAAATTTCCATTTCTCAATTAGAGCATTAAAGGGCACCCTGACAAATGACAAGATTGCAAGTTTCAATGATATAGCCTACAAGAATATCACCAAGCAAAGACTAAAAAGTAGGCTCGATGATCGTGCGGTCAAAAATATTGATAAGATGGAGGAAGTGGAAAAGAAGATTAAAGAGGTCGTTGATTCCTTAGATTTTGACCAACTTGAAAGTGAAGAGACTGAAGAAAATCTTCGGACCCTGTCTTGCATGATCACCACCGATAATTACATCGAGGCAATGAAAGAGGGCGAATGTATTTGTTTGACCCTCGACGTTTCGAGGTCACAAGTAGCCATCGCGGATCCTTCGCAAATTAAAGTTAAAAAAATCAATCAAACCTTTATGAGCTCTGGCGCGTTCTTGGATTCGGTTAAGTTTGCGTTAGGAGAAAATGCACCCGAGGAGGTACACGGGGGATTTCAGTATAGCCTTTTCGGACAAAGTGCAATCCAGGGCATGGCGCGTGAAAATATTACGGGTAGGTATATGAATTCCTTATTGATCGATCTTATTTGACGCCCGTTACTTTTTATTATTGGATTTTTAATATCATCGTATGCACACCTCTTTGATCAAAGGCGTCCTTCCCTTATACATAAATGAAAGACACTGGTCCATTGCGAGAGAGAAGATGAAGGTAACACGAAGAAGCATGCGATTCGAAAGAATTTTTTTTTATCACTCAAACTTGTTTTCCTCGATTAGCCAATAATGGGATACGTGACAACCCTCGACATTTTTGGGTACACATACTCCCAAATTACGACGGTACCTTTCTTGGTCCTCGCCAAAGCATTTTCCGATACGTCATCAGAGTTCTGTCGACGCCAGATCAAATTGATCATAGATACTTGCGATGCAATCTATAGAGAGTCCAAATACCTCAGAGTAGATAATAAACAGTCATTCGAGAAGTACCTGGAATCCCCATTGAATCGCACAATCGATGTTATTCCCAACAACCTGGTCTATCTTGGTCACCTACTGTGCGCATTAAGATGTGGCGATGTCACTTCGCAAGAGTTGGAAGGGTGGTTGAAAGGTGGATTGATCAAATATTTGATAGAGGAAGAGATACGTAGAAGGTTGAATAAGTTCACCACCATTGAGTCAGGAATGAATGATGTAGCTAGTATTTTAGGAATTGACAAGAAGGAGTACATCGAAGATCCGGTAAATCAGCTCAAAGCCGAGTATGAGGAGTATATCAGGGGGATGATGGATGCCGACAAGAATTCCAAAATTCGTTATACCACCGCGATCAGGAGAGCTTTGGCAGCTGCGGGTGCGGATTACGATGTTAAGGATCCGGGTCAGATTAAACAGGACTCTGGAAACGTGGCAGAAGCTCCCACCATTAGAGCAAAACTATGGAATCCAGAGACTCACCAAGTTCCAGATTCACCGGTCATAAAAGAGGTCCAAAACACATTTGCAAATGTTGTGGAAACCATTCTAAGATTTAACAAGATATTCGAATCCTTTATCACCACTGGGTCTACATTTGAGTCATGTTTGGAAAATTCCGAATTTCATTTCGCCAAGGATCAAACCTCATTGACCACCTCCTTCTTCAGTCAATATTCTCCTAAGGTTCGAGTGGCCACATTGCTTCAGTCCTACAAGCAACGTCAGAATTCCGAGCGTCGCGACGCCATTCTATGCGAGCCCATCAGATACCACGAACCATTCTCCGAGGGGACATCAGACATCATAATAGAAACCTATTTTAACGAGTACGTGGTTGCCAACTTGAATGATAGATCCTCGGAACTAATTAGAGCCTTCAATGCTGAAATGGATGACGCGCTTTGTGTCAAGTTCTGGAAGTTGGATGACGAGGAGCAAGCTGCAGGGCTCTTGTTGGAGGATGTGAAGTTCAGGGGCCGCCGGTTTTTTGGAAAGGCGATCAAAGCATTACAAAGGGAAGGATTGGCTCTGCCTAAAGAGAAGATTTCGATGGTTATTCGAGGGAAGTGGAATGGTATCACCTTATTTTCTGACAAGCCGAATCATCCCGAGGATCTTGGTATGCTTGACCACATGTATATTTGCATAAATTTTCTTCGATCTTCCTCTCCCCTTTAATTCGATTCGTGCATTTTAATAGAACGGTTGGCAAGATTTGTTAGTAACGATGAATGGCACCCCTCGAGGCGTACAACCTACCGTATAATTAGAGCTCAAAGAGGTCAGATACCCGATGTGAAGTGGTGGATCGATCTATTGCCTATGCACGCGAAATATCTGGAGCTTCAATTTGATGATGAGTTGATGAAAAATCTAGCTAAAAAGAGATACGAGGCCGCTCACGGAGTCACGAAAAAATAAGAATCGAAACTTATTTTTATTGTCACAAAAACACCTCGAAATTTATTCAACACTCGTTTACCCCCAAGAAAGTAAAAAAAAAAATATGGATATATATTTCCTTTGTCTTTATACAAATAGATCAACATTTTTAGTAAGACCGCCAGCAAAAATATCATTGAGAGATCTCAACTATTGGGGGAGCTGACGACCAAAAAAGTATTTTTTGTTTGTTTTTCTTTTTTTTTTTTTAGGAAGTATTGTATATTGTAATGTTGGTATATAACTCAAAAAAACGAATATTCAATAATTATTTAATTATTTGTACTCTAATAAATAAACTAATGTTTCTTCTCAAAAATAAAATAATTATCCGTCACAGGGGCTTTTATAATAATTAAAGGAATTAAAACTGTGAAGTAATATACGTAATTTGCAATGTCCACTCGAATATTTGCTCTACATCAATCACTATTTCATCCGCTCACCTTCAACTTGAAAATCTCGATTTCGGATTAATTAACATTTTCGATGCTTCACCTTTCTTCAATTCTTTCGCTCTACTGCCGGCAAATTGTTTTGCGGCGATCGTTACCTGTTTTACGTCATCGGCGAGTCTCGATAACTCGGTGACTCCCTTGTGCAAGAACTCGAACTCCTCTCCTTTAATAATGTCACGTAATCGTTAATAAACGTTTCGAGATCAAGATGTGAAGAAACGGATCAAGATTCCTACTCAATTCTATCAAATCTTCAACATCCACGAGTACGGCACTCCGATCACTCCTCTCGGCGTCGGAAATTAGTTTATCAAGCATGTCCAACGCACGAAATCTGCTGATCCATTCCTTATGGGAAATCTCCCTGGTCATTTCACTATCGAGCAGAGTTTCGTTTCCTTGGCCTCTTTTTTGTTCTCTGATTCTGCGAGATGGTTTCAGGGAGTTATTTTGAATCTCCTGAGATTCACTTGAAATGGGGATATGACCGTCGCGACCGGGAGAAATCAGAGGATCCGAAGAATCATTGTTGGAAGAATAGCCATTGAATTCGAACGACGCCCGTGAAGTCAAATACATTATGATGGTGGTCGGCACTTAAACGATTAGATAAGAGAGAGAAAATGATAGAAAAAAAAAACCCCCCAATTTTTAAATTTTTTTTAAAAAAAGGATAAATCTAGATTCCCATCAAGTATTTGCATTTAAGATTCAATGCGAGGAACAATCTTTCAATCTTTTGGACATGATTTGTTGACATCAAATGCATCACGTTCACAGTCAGTAATATGAACGGGTTTATGGGTAACTTTCTGGGATCTCGAAAGTGTCAGCATTGATTGCGTGATTTACTAAAGAAGATTACATAATATTTATATGTCTTGGTTGGGATTGAATTTTACAGGGTGAAAAGTTTTTTGCAAGTTTGCGTTTTATCATATTTAAGCAACGTCATTCTTTGGACAACACCTGAAAAATCTCATAATCATCAACTGAAAAATAATCTTCGGATTGCCTGATCCTTTTTTCATAGCTTGTACGAATGCATCGACACCTCTCGTCCACATTAAACTTCCTAAACATCTGAAAATCAGAATCACCGGCTCCAAAACACGGGCCAAACGAAGAATCATGATAAGTTGCATGATTTTCATCCACCACCTTACTGACCGTGACGTCATTTATGTCTTCGGAGTTCAAGGAAAATAAAAAACTTTCTCTCGATTTATAATACCTGTGGGGTGAAGCCGATTTCCAACTCAACGGATTATAACCGCCTAAAATTTCTCCCGTCTTTTGCACTTTTAACACTGTAACCGTGGGCCCTTTGCCGTCGCACAATTTATGAAATACCCTTGGTGTGAATCCGTCTCGAGATCCTCGACACAACAGTCGAAATTCGTGATTATTCTTTTTACACACATTATTCACTCCGTAAATCCATCCGGAAATTAATCTCGCGTGATGAGGTGAAATTATGATGGAATCGATTTCTATGCTGGTGAACATGAATTGCTTAATTTTCGAGAATGAATGATATTCCAAGATCTGTATGTAAAAATTATCGTCCAAGATCTCTCTGAATGGTCGAATTCTTTGAAAGAACACATCAGGATCAATCGATCTAAATTCGATATATTGAAGGTAAGGTTTGACCAAAACTCCAAAGGTCGAGATGTTGGCGTCGGTCCAAAGTGATGGGTCAGAGGGCAGGGAGGCGTCTTGTCCAATCGACCATTCAATCAGCTTCTCCCATAATTTCATTGCCGACAGAATCGAATTATTATCTTTCATAAGTTTTAACAAGCAATGGGTTCCACCTCTTTGAAATCGGGTGCGTTAAAGATTGCCGAAGAATCAAGTTCGACAACTCGGTTACAGATTTCCGATAACCTTTTGTAATGCGAATTGTGAATGACAAATTGGTAGAGTGTGGCAAAAGTGTTGCTTAAGTGTATTTATACCAATGGTAACCAAAAATTCTTCAATGTGTTCACACAAGTCTAAGATGCATAATTCATCGGACGCTGAGAGAAGTTGAATGATGATTGGTATGTCGTATTTTGTGAGATCAATCACTCCGCAATAAATGTACCTAAGAAAAAAAGTGATCACCAATGACAGACAAACAACCACTCTGTCGAAGACGCACTTTCTCGTTTTTTTATGCTTACCTAAGCAGGATTCCAAAAATTCCTGGTGAGATATTAGGTTTTTCCAATGTTATTTTATTATCCCTGGTCCTCGCCCACTCTTTGGACAGAGCGATGCGAAAGTAAGGGGATCGAGCACGTAGGATCACCGAGTGTACACAGAATTCCTCAAAGTTTGAATCCTCGCCAACTTTAATGATCACATCGTAAAATTCCCCGGATTCGAGAAGTGAATTATAGTCTTTTGACAGGAGGGTCAATAAATCTTTGGTCATCCTTTTTTTTTAAAAAAAATTCTTTTTCAAGGTGAAGTTATAATAGTGAAGTGGGAAAGGAGGATTAAACGTATTACAGTATATTGATGGATAACGTTCTAAATTGTTTATATATTCTTGACCTGTGGGCCAATAGGAATGCATGCTTTATCATAATTTCAAATTATCATATCATGTGGCTACCGTATTACACATTTCTATACTGACGGAGGGATGCGAGATGCCGCTATCATGATCGTTGGAGATAAGAATCACCAGGAAGATTATTGCAACTAAGCAGCTGCCCTTATTTGTCGAAATAGGAAAATCCATCGCTGGTGACTGAACGAGACTTACGTCGCGTGGCGAATTGATTCGTGCTTCTAGCGAATCATTTGTCTCCCAAGTCATCACACTTCTTTGTATTCATTCGGACGTCTTCTCTCATCTATACAATACTTATATTCTTGGATCGGTGTTCAAAAACTCTTGGCACAATTAGAACATACCGTACAGTACGTAAACATATGCGATATTAAATAGAATTTACAGTATAATGATTAACGTTAAATTCGTTCTATGCCATCCCATAGTCTTCTGTGGCATACTACTGCACGTGGTCCAATAAAGATCTCTCTTTTGCAATTACCAGAATTCAATGAGACAATTTTTATATTATAATGAAATCAAGAATACTTAATTTATTTCACGCTTTTTTTTGTTAAAAGAGGTGGTGTGGTATAGTAAAATTTACCACCAGAAAGAAAAAAAAAAAAAAAATACGCACTTGCAACTTGGCTTGGTACAAAAACTATCGTGTCATGATGATAACATCCTATGTTGTTTTTGCGACCATTAGCGCAAAGATGATCAAGTTTTTTTTTGCCACCTCTGTTTAACTATCTAATTTCTAGTGGTAGTTTCTTTTTTTGTATCGTGAAAGGAAGCCGGCCGGAATGACCGAAAAGAAAATTAAAAACATGTACTCATGTACTTTCGAACCATGCTCATTAACTCGAAATGTCCAGACCATTGATTAACCCAAATATTTGAAATAAACTTCCACGACCAAGCCTTTTCCTCGGCAGCGAATAAATCGCAATCATCGTACACCTTTTCTGACGTCGAAAAAAATGCTAAAGAATTCATTAATTGCTTGAAATGCTAATGTGATGCCTTAAGAAATTAATAATATACAATGTAATACAAAGAAGAAGAAAAAATGAAAAGAGAAACAGAATAAAAATCCCCAAGAAATAATATTATTAATGCACTCTATAAATCACATAAACAAACTTTTTTTCTATAGTTATTTTTTTGAGTCAGTTCCCAAGTCTTGCTCGTGCACCATGGTGTAATATATCCCCTTCTGTGCTATTAACTCGTGATGCGTCCCCTTCTCCGCCACCACGCCATCTTTTATGACGAAAATTATGTCGGCGTTCTGAATTGATGATAGTCGATGTGCAATGGCAAGCGTCTGTCGGAAAGAAGGGAGAACAACGAGCGCGTTAGCGAAATTAAAGAGGTGGAAAAAAAATTCTATCATCTCATGAATGCTAAGGCACACTTACCGATCGACCCATTGCGGCTTTGTCCAGCGCCTCCTGGACAACCTTTTCCGACTCCGAGTCTAACGCGGAGGTGGCCTCGTCCAACAGTAGGATCTTGGGATTTCTTATTAACGCGCGGGCGATGGCGATTCTTTGTTTCTGACCGCCTGAAAGTTGAGTCCCCTTCCCGCCAACGGGAGTATCGTAGCCTTTCGGGAGTCCCACTATAAAATCGTGAATGTTGGCTTCACGACATGCACGTTCAATGTCCTCTTGCGTAGAGTTTTGTCCAGGTCGGCAACCGAATAGAATATTTTCACGGATGGTCATGTCGTACAACGAAGGTTCTTGACTAACTAGAGCGATGTGTTCGCGGAGATTGTTGACGTTCATGGTCGAGATGTCTACGCCATCGACGGTAACCTTCCCGCTGGTGACATTGTAGAATCTTTCGGTGAGTCCGATCGTGGTGCTCTTGCCGCATCCCGATGGGCCAACCAATGCGGCGAATTGACCGGGCTTGATCTCAAGGCTCAGACCCCGAAGGACTGGCACGTGAGGGCGGGTGGGATAGCGAAAATGAACATCGTGAAATTCAATGTGTCCTTCCACTTTTTCGACGCGCTTTCCAGATTGTGACCATGCGTCAATTGTTGGTGTTCGTTCGATCAGGGAGATGATGGAGGCGGCGGCAGATCTGGCTTTAACCATGTCGGGAGCGAAGGCGAAAACACGACCGGCAGACATTGAACCAAAGATCACTGCCATGAAGACGATAAACATTTTAAGGAGGTCGTATTCGCCATTCATGAACAGATGGCTGCCGTACCAGAACGCCAAGGCGTTTGTTAAAAAGATCGCGCACTGTGCGAAAGCGAACGCGATCGAGGCAAAGAATGCGTTGTTGAATCCTTGTCTCATTGGTTCATCGAGCTTGTGGTGATAGTTATTCCATAAATCCTCTTCGCGCGTGAGTGCAGCCACGGTTCTAATATTACCGGCTCCCTCGCAGGCAACTTGAGCAGATTCTTCGTAAGCTTTCTTGGTCTTCTGCTGGAATCCGTTCAACATCTTCATACGAAGGGCGCCGGAGCCGATTAGCACTGGAATACAGGCGATGCAAACCAACGTGAGTTTCCATCCGACAACAAGACCGACGATCAGACCGGCGACAACCGTGGTGAACACTTGCAAGAGGGTACCCAGTGTGGCCCCGGCCAAACCGTTCACATGAGTGGCGTCCAACGATAGGGAGCTTGTCAACGCGCCAACATTATTCTTTTCTTCGTCAAAGAAGGCAACATCCTGTCGTAAGATGGAAGCAAACGATTTCGATCGGATTCGCTCCGTGAGATTCTCGCCGGAGAATCCAAAGGAGAGGCCTTGCACAAAATTGCCGGCGAAAGTGGTCACGGCAATTACAATAAACATGAGGGACCAGAACGCAGCGTCATGTTTCAACTGAGCCGGGGGTTCCGCGAAAGATTGCAAGATGTGCGCAAAGATGACGGCAAACACTGGATACACGCAACCGCAAATAATTGCGGCAATCAAGCCAGCACACATTGCCGGAATTTCTGGTCGATTGATTTTTAAAACTTTTCGTAATAATTCAAGGGTGGTATATTCGTAATCATGTTTAGTTCCCGCCTCGATGTCAGCCAATCGTCGGGCTATGATCGCCGATGAGACGGACTTGTTAGTGACGACACGACCGAGCAAATGGTCTTCCTCGGGTACCACCACCTCCTCTTGAACTCTAGACGGCAACAGAACATCATTATCTTCCGGAGGAATGATCGAAGAATTCAGTACGTCGGGATTTTCCTCGGCCTCCTTGACAAGTTGAATTCGCTGGGCTTCGACGAGCTTCGAGTAAGCGCCTTTCTTTTTCATGAGTTCATCGTGAGTGCCGATTTCCGCTATGACACCTTGATTCATCACGACAATCTTTGTTGCGTTACGAATGGTGGACAATCTATGGGCTATGACAATGGTTGTCCTGTTCCTGGAGGCTTTATCTAACGCGTCTTGCACGATGCCCTCGCTCCGAGAGTCGAGAGCACTGGTAGCCTCATCGAGCAACAGAACCTTTGGATCTTTGATGACAGCACGAGCAATGGCGATACGTTGTTTCTGACCACCTGACAACAGGAAACCACGTTCGCCAACCATCGTTTCGTATTTCTCCGGAAGCTTCATAATGAAATCGTGAGCATTGGCCATGACGCACGCTTGCTCGATCATCTCACGCTTCTTATCTTGCGACAAATTTTCGTATTGGGAACCGATCAATCCGTGAGCGACATTTTCGGCGATCGTGGTGTTGAAAAGGACGGGTTCTTGACCCACCAGACTGAACTGTCTTCGGAGCCATAGGAGGTTGAGGGATTTAACGTCGCGACCGTCAAGTAGAATTTGACCAGCGACAGGATCATAGAATCGAAGGAGCAGAGAAACAATGGTACTCTTGCCGGAACCCGAAGGACCGACCAGGGCAACAGTCGTACCAGGTTCAATATCCAGGGAGACACCGTTCAGGGTTTTCAACTCAGGTCTAGCAGGATAAATGAATGAAATGTCCTTTAATTGAATGTGACCGGCGACATCCTCCGGCTTCACGCCATCCTCGGAGGCGATATCGATCGATGGCACGCGATTGATGGTTTCGAAAATCTTTGATCCGGCACCAGTGGCGAAGCTAAAAGCTTGCAAATCGGGGGCCAGGTTTCCAAGTGAGAACGCACCGAACAGCACGGCGAAAAATACGTTGACGACCTAAAAGAACATGAAATTTGATTGAGATGGTGATGGTGATGAAGAGAATCACAAAATGCACTTTAAGATAGCTTACTTCACCGGGAGTTAATTCGTCATCAATAATCAACTTGGAACCAAACCAGAATGCCAAAGAGTAGGTACAATAAATGAACAGAAAGATGGTACCCAACGCGGTGCTCTGCACAATGGCCCTCTTCCTTCCTTCGATATTGGATTTTCTCAGATGAACCTCATAGAGATCGCATATCTTTCTCTGAGAACCGAATGCTATCACGGTTCGAACGGAAGCAATAGCTTCTTCGGCAATAGTGCCGGCAATGGAGTATAGATCTAAACTGCGTTTCATGAAAATGGCGGTGAATTTGTTCATTACTCCGCTGGTGAAGCCTATCAATGGGATGACACAACAAATTACCAAGGTCATCTTCCAACTTTTGGTGAAGGCGATTATAAAGGCGGAAAAGAATTGGGAGATGTACTGTGGCGAATCACGTGGAAGAAGTCACGTTAGGAAATTGGAGTTGAACGACAAATGAGGTATACACTGTAATTGAGCAAACACGTACTTGAAAGGCGAGAGCAAATTTTTCGCTGATGCCATCTTGAATTAAGTGTGTGTCGGAGGTGATGCGAGTGGCTACTTCCCCGGCGCCGAGCTTATCAAAGTAAGCGATATTCTGACGGAGAATCGCGCGAAGGTATCGCTCACGAATTTGCCGTGTAATCCTAATTAAGACAAATCGCGTGGAAAGGTTGGTTAGACGTAATGACGCAAAGAAATCGACGACGCATGGAATAATTAACAACCTTTCACCAGTGTACACCCAGGCGGCCATGGAAAAGTAGGTGGAGAAGAATGTGACGATAGCGAGGTAGACGAAGAACAGGGAATAGTAATTGATTTTTGAGGTGAAAAGATCGGGTGAGATCACATGTTTCTGGAATTCGGTGAAGTAATCGATCATTTGTCCAAAAACGATTGTCATCAGCGGCTGTTAGAAAAAATTCGAATCATGATTAGAATTAGCCGAAATCAACATACATACATGCATACGTGACGATAATGGTGAGCCGATTCACAAAGCACATACCATGGCAGCACCTGCAGCACCCGCAAACACCAGGCCTATGATCATTATTACCCAATCTTTCTTGGTTGCAAAAGTGTATAATTGGAAATAGGAAATTTTAGTTTGTTCTATTTGCACTTGGGCCTTTATGGTAGGATCTATGAAACCCCCTTCATTTTCATCTACATTTATGGTGGCGGAAGAGACGGATTCTTCAGAAGCTTCGGGATGTTGTTGTGGGGTCATTTGTTCCTCACTCATATCGGTCTTATTATTTTTTTTATATTTGGATCCTTCTTTGGTAATTGAATTCTGATTTTTAATTTTTATTTTTTAGAATAGATTTTTTTTTTTTTTTTCTTTTTTTAAATTTCAAACGGCAGAAACGAAAACATGAAAAGGCCGTGAATTGAGAGTGCAAGGTACAAGAGAGGTTTTTATAGAATAACCGAACAATTTGTCTAATTACACTACCGCCCATATAACCAATCCGCGTCTATTTCGCCAGGTTAATCTTTTTTCCTGATGGAAGCGTAGCAATACTGTTATATATTTTTTTTTAAAATCCCGAATGCAAATGTTAAGGGGAAAGGTTTGCCCGTTTGGTTGCTAGGTGTCACAATTGAACACCAATTCTATTATCTCTTATTTCTTAGTGATATCGAATAATATTACCGGGCCTACTTGACTCCATCCGTCTAGTACGGACAAATTGTAACCGCCGGCCGTTCCACTTTTGGAATCATCATTATATTCTCTTTTTTTTTTTTCCCCTTAAAATATATACCTTTATTGTTTTAGAACCTTTTGGAACCGCGATCGATCTCCGCCAGAAGTTGAAGAACTATGACGTGAAGTTTGTAATTAACTATATATGTGCTAGCTAGTCGGAGACAAGATGTTCCTTGCTTAAAGATTATGGCAACATGAATGATCGGTGTTTTAAATCCCCAAAACAAAGATTACGTATAACAACCCATGATAACGATGCACAAAGTTTAATAGAAAGCATACAAAATTTATATTTAACTTTAAAAATAATAAAAAAACAACAAAATTGCTACCCTTCATGAGATAATAAAATTATTCCGTTTACATTTGTGTTCTGTGGCGACTTCAAATGCATGTAAAAAGATAATTTTTTTTTTTTTAGTGATTAGACTTGCGAATTTTCAAATGCACATCACGTTAACTTGTTGGCCCTTTGATGCCAGATTTTTCCATAGCATCTTCGGCAGCTCTTTTTTTTGCTGACTTTTTGTTCAGTCCTTCGCCTCGACCAACAATCTCACCATCGATTCTGACTGTGGCAACGAAAATTTTTTCTTTTTCGTCCGTTTTCTCTTCGATGTCATATAAAGGCACTTTTTTAGAATCTCTCTTTGCTACCCACATTTGCAATTTCCCAATCGGATCTTCGTACGCGTGAGTTGACGGTATGGCCGGTTCTTCGACGGGGACCTCATCATCTTCAATTGAGATAATTCCATCGTCTTCATCTTTGAAATCACTTGCGTTTACTTCCTTCAAATAGTCAACAAATGGTTCGATAAGCTGTTTGATATGATCCATTACTTTCACCAGATCTTTATTCACATCTAAAAAAATTGCTCCAACATATGCCTCGAATGTATCGCATAATACTTTTTCGTTATTTCGCATGGCCGAGCTCCCCTTCCCTAACCGAAGTTTTTTATCCAAACCTAGGTCTCTCGAGAACTTTGCCAAGGTATCCTGACAGACAATTCTCGCACGTAGTTGCGTAAGTGTTCCTTCTTTGTACTTTGTAAATTTGTTGTATATGTAGTCCGTTACAACGCATGAAATGACGGAGTCGCCCAGGAATTCCAATCGTTCATTGTGATAACCTGTCATTGGATTCTCGTAACAGTAGGAAGTATGTGTCAAAGCTTCTGTGAATAGCTTCATGTCCGAAAATTTGTGTAGTGCGATTTTCCTTGATGAGTCCATTTTTCGATCGATGAGGATGTCAAAGATTTTTTGGGGGAGTTTTTTTTTTTTTTTAACGGTCAGTTTGAAGTGATGGCAAAAAGGATCCGACAATCTACTATTATTTATATCCCAGCGACAACAAGAAAACAAATGAATTTATTTCCAAATTTATCAATGACATCTGACAAGTCATTGTGTCAATTTTTGGATACTATTGCGGAGGATGAAAGTGAGACGCACCCCATAATGCCATTAAGGATATCAATTCAAAATTGGTGACGAGCTCGATTTTGACTCATATGTATAATATGCTCACGGCTTTAGCTCGACACCTTTTGATCTTGTAACTTTAAAAAAAAAGAATGCGGCTATTGATGCGATATCTAATAATAATAATAATAAATAACTTACATAAAAAAGAAAATACAAATGTGTAATCCATTGGTGTGAGTATATTGTCATGGGAGGCGTTCACTCTTTTTTTAATGCCATTTTTGTCATGGCTGTTTAACGACCAAAAAAAACTTTATCGTAACGATACATTTGCGTTCCATTAATGTGTAAGTGTATTGTGAATCTACCTTATATGAACGCACGCACAATGTAACATACTATTCTTGGTCATAATAACAGGGCCTAAGAAAATTTTTAATATGTTCATATTTAGATGGTGCAGTGCAATATGTGTTCACTGGAACCCATTTGCCTGTTTCTAAAAGAATAGACAAATGTAACCAAAAATGAAAACCAAAGTTTAAACGATACTTTTATCAATTGCAAAGCAAAAAAAATCTCAACAATGTATGCATGATTAATGATACTAAAAAGGTTACAATAGCTCAAGAATTTTTTGTTATTGTGAAAAAAATAGGTGTGAATCTGTATAAACGAATAAAAATAAACGATATAGATTATTTATTATTACGTACTTTGATTATCGCACGGTATTGTTATTGAATTTTAATATCATATCACTACATTTATTATTAATCTTTAATTTAATCCTGCTAATGCCGGAATGGATGTTTTATTAAAGAATTGTTTTCCGAGAAAAGGGTATATTAATATTTACCATTTGCTAACCGGATATAATTAATTAACAGAATTAATAAATTTTATCAAGTGACGTGAGTATCTGCGGTTACGCAAGATATTCTGAGTTGGCGACGAACTCACGTGAAGCCTCAACAATGACCATAATTCATCGGCTTTGAATCGCGGGTGACCCCGGTAAGAACCTCAATGTGGCAAACCAAGTTTTGGGAGAAAAAACGAAAGCCGAAGAAAGACGCAAAATTACATTGCCCCATATCCAGTATTATTAAATGTATCCAGAAAATAACGTGGAAATTGATTACACGCGTTACGCTTTAGTTATCGCATGCTTATGCATATCGATTTTTTTTTTTTATAAAATAAGGTTACGAGGGATAGAGGGAAAGAAAATGGATGCGAGAAGAGGATAAGCAAATGAGTGAGAAGATCAAGGAAACCGAGATAAAAGAAGGTTAACGGAGACTGCCACCTTCAGCCGATTCCTGGTGCAAGTTATGCTTTCCCGTGATCTGTGGTTCCAATTCCATAATGATATCAATGTTCAAGAGCAGTCCCCTCTTTAGCCGATTTTAGGTCTTCATTTTGAGTGATTCCAATTCCATATTGACCCTCGATAAAAAGTCTTTTGATTTTTCAAAAAATATGAGACGATGTTTCAATAAATTCAATAACAAAGAGATGTTATTTTCGAGACTTCAAAACTTATTACTCCTTTATTTGGCTGATTGCTCATAATTAATTTATATAAATGGGGCACTTATTCTTGAAGGCGATCAAAATACTAAATATGATCTTTTCGGCCCCCATTTTTTAATAATACGCATATAATGCAAATTTTAGGATCACAATTAATTACAGAGTCCAAAAAATCCCCGTCCACCTTCGAAAATAATTACCCAAGTCGTTTAATAAAACTTTGTATTTTGGATCCCCAACTCCCGCATGAAAATTAATGAGCATCATAAGATTTTGTTAACACAGACATTTACAGTATATACTTGTAATTCAAGATTCAGGGGTATTCGAAACTATTGGTGTACTGTATTTAGTACGACTGACATGTCTAAAGAGTCGAGTAATCCCTTAACCTACTTAAAGATTGCCTATCAATAAGGATTTTTTGGATTATGCAATAACACATGCTGTTTTTAAAGAATTTAACCAAGGTACAATCCATTATATAGCTATTGGCAAAATAGCTTTAACTTTTTTTACATGGGCAAAATTGTGTATAACTTTCAAAAATAATTTATAATTTTTTATTAAAGTTTATATCGATATACAGTATTTAAAAATATTATGTATTTAGATTTTCAATTTATTTAATATTAGATAATGTATTGTTCTACTAAATCTTTTTCAGAATTTGATAAAAAAGTAATAGTATAATATAAAAATATTATTAAAATATAAAAAATTGAATTAGCTACATTAGTCAAAAATAATTATTTATTATAATATTACTTACAGTATATAATATCTATCAAAAAATAATTAATTTGACAAATTAATAGTAAAAATAAATTAGCAATCAATTTTTATTATATAATTTAACATGATAAATTATCAATCTATATAATTTAATATTAATATATTTCTATTATATCTTTTATAAATTAAGAAATGGTTTTTACTCTTAATTTTTGACTTAATCTAAAATGATAAATAAATTATTAAAAAAATTTTCAAAAATTGTTGGTTTTTATTATAAGATTTATTAAAATTTTATATTTCCTAAATTTTAATTATACAATATATTATATTTATTATTCAATGAAACTATAATCAAATATTCATAAAAATCTTATGAATTTGAGATTTTATTATATTTAAATAAATAAATTAATAAAAAATATTATAAAAAAAAAACTTAAAAAAAAACTTTTTCCACTGATCCTTTGGCCACACACAAAAAAGATGTTCGCAAGAAGTTTTTATACTTCTTTGCTAA